GATCCTAAAGCATACGTGCATGGATGCTTACAAGCCAGTTTTCTAGCCATTTCTTGCTAGGTTCATTGAGTACATAAAGAGCAAAATTGGCTGGCTATACCTTTGTCATACTTTCAGTCCCATTTTTCATGATTTTTGGGGAGCTTTTATGATTCACCAAGAATACTACTATGGCTTTATTGTTCAAAGAAGACTTTATTGGTGTTTGTGTTAGAATTGCTGGTTGTAGGATAATAGAGCAAATAGAATAATGGCTAATACGTCAAACAATGTTTTATGAGACTTAAATTTGAATGCTAGTACTTAACTATTGTGCTCATCTCATCTGTTCCACAAGCCTAAGAGAAACTGCACATACCTGCCTGTTCTGATAAGGAAACCGGAATCCAACCTGAGTTCTGCCTTGCAGTTGTATGACATGAGAAGCTAGAGAAAACTGAGGCAAAGAGACACATTTAATAGCACTTCCAAGGCCAAATAGCTAGTAAGATGTGGAGCTGAATTTTGAAATGAGCTCTGGCTCTAGAGCTCTTGTTCTTCACGTGTTCCTAAGCAGAATGTTTTTCTTTACTACTGTACTTGGGATGCTGTCACTCATGCGTGTGCTATACAGGTTATACCCAATAAACCTGGATCTTGCTGCTTTGGCTTTGCCTATTAAAGTATGTATAAGGAGGATGAGCAGAAGTAGTAAACTGGGTTTCGTTTTTTGCAGAAATCTGCATATTGGTAACAAGTTATAAGGTATGATAATAAAGGACTGTAACTTGGTTTATTCTTTGACCATTATTAACTGCCTACACAACCTTATACCTTGTAGTCAAAATTTGCGAGGAAGTAGATAAAATACAGGGTACATAAATTTATCAGATTACCTCAACATTCACCCAAAAATTCAAATGCAGAACAGTGCAAGATAGCTCTGTGTAGTAGAGATCGAAGAATCCAGGCAAGGGGCTGGATCCCACTGCAGTGTTCCACACAAGTCTATCTAGGCCTAGAGACCACAGCAATGTCCTCCATGAGTCCAGCTGGAGGCTGGAGCTCATGGCAATGTCTCAGGCATGTCTGTATTGGGGGGTCTGCACCAGAAAGGCCAAAGAGTCAGCGATGGAAGCTAGTCTGCACCTGCAGGTTGAAGGATCTGTGCCACCAGACTAAGGGATCTGCACTGGAGCCAGGAGGCAGTGCTCATGACAGGTGAAGACCAGAGCTCCCCCAAAGAGAAAGTAGCCATCCCAGTAACAGTGAAAGCTCTGATGATGGCAACAGTTAAGTTCGTATCAGAATACAAACAGCCACAGCAAAGCTGAGAAATGAGCAGTGTGCAGTCTTCCCTGCCTTTCTCCTTTTATCCTTCAGCAACCGTCCTCAGTGGGTCTTCCAAGCCCAGAACTATGTTTCATTCACTGGATCTTCTCACTCAAATTGACCATTAATCTACCACATACATAATGGTTTGTACTCCATTAAATCTTTTTCTGTGTGCTGCCTATAAACTTCCAGATTAAGCCTTGTGACCAAACACTTCCTGATAGTTCTTCTAGTCATGGATTTTCAGTGTTGCCGAGAGTATTAAAATTTGGATAATTATCAGAATTGTTTATTTTAATTTGCTGTAGAGAGAAGTGCTCAATTTGAGCTTTGCAAACAAGATTAGAATATTTCAATTTCTGCAAATTCTTTCCTTTGGAATGAAATGGCTTTTACTTAGAAATGTATAATGTACTGTTTAGTAACTTCATGAAGATAATGAATACATTGTGACTGTCCTGAACACTGTGAGGATCACCTCTCAGGGTGTCATCCACTTTGTAAGAGTGAGAAGCTGGACTGTAAGGATTTGTTGGTTTTGTAGTGTGGTCTGTTGTTCCCCAGGGAGAAACGGCAGGAACGAAGAAAAGATGAGA